GAAGAAAGGTACTGTTGTAAATCAGACAGGTTTCTGTAGAAAAATAGGAAGAAGGTTACTGTTGTAAATCAGACAGGGTTCTGTAGAAAATAAGAAGAAGAGTACAGTTGTAAATCAGACAGGGTTCTGTAGAAAATAAGAAGAAGAGTACAGTTGTGAATCAGACAGGGTTCTGTAGAAAAATAAGAAGGGTACTGTTGTAAATCAGAGAGATTTCTGTAGAAAATAAGAAGAAGGGTACAGTTGTAAATCAGAAAGGTAGTTTCCATATTGATAGTTTAAACACTTAGTGGCGCAACTAGGGGGGGGCAGCTTTTTGTCAAAGAATTATAATTTCTCGGATTTGACAAAAAATAACCCGCGGTAGAAACTCTGAAAGCATTACAACATGTAAATGAAAAGCTACGGGATTAAAGGTAGACAGAGTATTGCAGGGGACTGACTTTAACATCACACTGGGAGTCAAGAAACCGAACATTTGCATGGACAGCGTTAACAAGGGACAAAAATAAAGCTTTTGAAACAGAAAAACTTTAAAGAGAGCAGGCACTGAAGAAGGTTGTGAGTAGCAGGGTAGAGAATGATAGAACCAGGTTTATTGTAATGTCAAATATGACCTAGCCTCTGAAACTCTAAGATCATCCTGGAAGATTCTCTATAGAAGATCCAGTAATGAAGAAAATCTACCCCTCTCCTCCTATCAGAGAGTGGAGAATTTGAAGGATCTCTTTGTTAAGTCTAAACTTCCAAGAAGACAGAGATTAACAAAGGAAAAAAGAGATAAGGTTGGGTTTAAACCCTGTAATAAATCTCGTTGCCCTGTATGTGAACAGATGGGAAAGAATACTGTTGAAGAGGTGATCATCTCTGCTACTGGAGAAAAGATGAGGATTAAGGATAAGCTGACCTGCTCCTCCTCAAATATTATATACATGATTACATGTAGGAGAAGAGGCCGAGTTTGTCCTTCCCATCCTCAATATATAGGAGAGACAGGAAAGGAGGCTGAAGAAAGGCTGAGGGGTCACAGAGGCACCTTTACACATCTAGGACAAGAAAATACCCAGGCCCCTGTAGGTGTTCACTTTCGTGCCCCTGGCCACTCCTATGCAGATTTATCCTTCATTTCCATAGAGAAGATCAGGTCCAGAGATATCATGGTCAGGAAGGTCAGGGAGTCATACTATATATACTACATCCAGAAATTCAACTCAGTGAGGTCAGTACTGAACAAGAAAACATAATGCTAATGTCAAACTTGAAAAAAATGAATTTTGTTTGTTTTAAATTGTATGTATACGTATTACATACCAACAGTACCTTATAGATTTGATTGAATTCATGTATTTGACCATTTTGCCGACCAATTCTAACCCCTTCAACACCCCCCTTCCCCTCACCGCATACGCCCATAAACTAGTCAATCCTTTTCCAGTCAAAAGAGTAATAAGATACGGTTTTCTAATTTTTCTTTTAAGTTTTATGTGTTTTGACAATATTCATTTTGAAAAATTCCTTATTGTAAAGGTTATATAAAAATATTTTTTATTTTTGTTCTCTCCTAGCTGTGTTTATTTGAATTGCTATGTTTGTATTAATTTTTTTTATTTTTTTTGCTTATATCTGTTATATTATAAGGACGCACTCCTGATGAAATATATTGATATAATTCTAGTGCTAGAGAGTAGGGTTGGGATTTGTTTAAAAACGATCTAAAGTTTAAAATCATAAAATAAAAAAGTCTGAATACTTCAAAGTACTGAAAAGTTTATACTATAACTTTTTTAAGTTAGAACTGCAGTCTTGCAGACCTTGTACTTTTCATACTGTGCATCGGTCACTTCAAAATGCATAGAAACAGTTTTTACCGGATTTTGAACTTGACTTTCGAATTTCTTGCTGAACCTTGACAATTCCTGGCGTCCATGCACTCTTCAGAAAGGGTCAACGCATGATAGTTCTCCGCCTCTTAAAAGGGATTGTAATTGTTTATTTATTTGAATATAGAGTTTACAGGGTTGAAAATTTCATACTTCTTTATCTTTGGAAATTATATGTATAAAATATACCTCACTAGAAAAAGGTATAATTACGTGTCTAATCATATATTAGTTGTCAATGGAGTTGGGCACACGCAACTCTGACCCTTTAGTAAAAGTAAATTCAACCTAAAGTCTGACTGCACCGGTTAGTCCTATTGAGTTTCTACGTTATTCACCCAATGTCCGGGCGATACAGTACAAACTGGGACCAGAAAGATTGACCCAGCTCGGAAATTCAAATGTACCACGACGGCATGCCCGTGGGCATCGTTGTTTTATACAAACATTCAAGCCATTATGGTTCTTGACTTTTTATCGGCACGATTAAGTTCTGCAGAGTTTAAATTAAATTTAAAATTCAATTCTCTACACTGGCAAGTTAATTTTTAACAAGGCAAAACTTTAAAGCATAACATTTAATTCTTAAAGTAAAGTTCGTTAATAAACAATTTAAAAAATCATTCAGGTTTTTTTTCTCTCAGAGTTAAAGTTTTCAACAGTGTAATACATTTTTGAAATCTGTTAAACATAAAGGATGTCCATCTGTAGCCGCTTCAATAGCTTTAAAATTATCAACATTTTCTGTTGCAAAGAGGACGCTTTATGAGGCACAATTGAACAGAAACTGCATTAGGACTCACCATTATACGCAGTACGCACCATTATAGTACAGGGTGTCCCAAAAAACATGGGAATTCAGTGACGAATTCGATATCGTCTTTTTAAATAATTCTTTGATTTAGTATAGTGATACCAACCAAAAAAGCTTTAATCTGTAAGAGTTTCGTCTGCTATGTTTACATTTTGTATGTTTATGTTTTGACTGCATACGGTTGTACTTAGTAAAACAAGAAAATTGCAGTATACAAACACAGAAAACTTGTCCGTCTTCACTGTTCATCTTGCAGAGACATTATAGACACATCTTTACAGTCTTTTACCCTTTTCATAAAATAAACTCTAGCAGACATAATATTATTATGGCTGTTGAAATTAGGTATTACAATGCTAATTCATAGCAAAGACGATATACTATTCGTCACTGAATTCCCATGTTTTTTGGGACACCCTGTATGTAATTGAAATTTATGAAACATTTCATAAACATAATGGAAGTTAATGGAACATTTCATAAATATAATGGAAATTTATGGAACACTTCATAAATATAATGGAAATTGATAAAATATTTCATAAACATAATGGAAGTTAATGGAACATTTCATAAATATATTAGAAATTGATATAACATTTTAAATAAACATAATAGAAATTGATGGAACAAACCATAAATATAATGGAAATTGATGGAACATTTCATAAATTTAATTGAAATTGATGGAACTTTATATAAACATAATGGAAGTTAATGGAACATTTCATAAATATATGGAAAGTTATGGAACATTTCATAAATATAATGGAAATTGATGAAATATTTCATAAATATAATGGAAATTAATGAAATATTTCATAAATATAATGGAAATTAATGAAATATTTCATAAATATAATATGGAAATTGATGGAACATTTCATAAATAAAATGGAAATTGATGAAACATTTCAGAGGTATCATGTGAATTGTTTATGGAATTTTCTTAAGAGAAACATTTAATAGTTAAATGGAAAATTGTAAAAAATTTTACGAAACGAATCTTTATGATAAAATTATGGAAATGGCTGGACAGAGCATTTAATTAAACAGACAATTTATAAATTTTTTAAACATTGAAAATAATCGAATAATTTATAAAATAGACATTTCTTAAATATTAGATCTATAATAAAATAAACATTTTCTTAAGAGATATAGTTGAAATAGATTAAACATTTCATAGATATTCAATGGAAATTGATTAAACATTTCTATAGATATTCAATGGAAATAGATTAAACATTTCATAGATATTCAATGGAAATTGATTAAACATTTCATAGATATTCAATGGAAATTGCTTAAACATTTTCAGCGCCGAAATATATGTTGTGTGCACCCCCGTGACCCCTTTTTTTGAAAAAAATATTGGTTAGTTTTTCATCTATATTAAAGAACCTAATATATTTCATACTTATAACTTATGCTTGGTTTAGAACATATATAATTGTTGATAAAAAATTAGGGGTGCAATTTTCTTGTAAAATCTTCCCCCGCGCGCTTCTGTTGGTAATGAAAATTTCTGGCGGTTAAAATATTTTCGATGAACGCTTTGTTCCAATAAACATAAAATAATTAATTATTTAGTACCAATATATGGTAATGTTACATACGTCGTCCCAACATCCCATACTGAACTTCTGACCTATACTGACTTTCCGACCTACTGCAATATCGGGCCTACGCCAGCTGTTTATTTTTGTATTATTAGAGGGTTTGGTTAGGTTAAGGCAATTTATGGGCCGAGCGCTGCGGCTAGAACAGGCTAGGGGGCCGAGGACAGGCAACAGGGCCGGGCGCTGCGGCCATAAGTCCATATAGCAGCTATAAAACCACGCGCTAGTAGGTCAGATGTGTAGCAAAGCGGATTTGGCGTAGGTCAGAAGTGTAGTATAGCGGATTAGCGTAGGTCGAAATATACTATCTAATATTAATAACAATAAAAAAAATAGCAAAGACGACCAAAGTTCTATTTCCGGCGAGCACAGCGGGCTTGACAAAAATATTTAGAAGTTCTGAAAAGTCATGAGATATCTAAATTCCAATAACTTAGCTGTTATACAGTTCTTTGTATTATTTGGGAGAAATAAAAAATTTAAGGTTCAGACGTTTTAAAAAAAATTGTTTCAGCCCACTGTGAAAATGCCGCACCGAAGTTCAAGAAGAGATGAGCGCGTGACGTCATTTCCAGTTTCATTTACAGCACACACATGGAAAACAGCAACATGATTATTTTAAACTTAAAATGTAGTGTGTGATATTATTACGAGAACTCTGCTGTTAATTATTAAATTTAAAGAGTGTGGATTTTTATTTTATCTTGCTATTTTCAGTCTCGAAAATGGGTCGTGTTCGTACGAAGACCGTGAAGAAGGCTTCTCGATTTATCATCGAGAAGTACTACACCAAGCTCACCCTCGACTTCCACACTAACAAGAGGATCATGGACGAGGTTGCGTTGATCCCCTCCAAGCCTCTTCGTAACAAGGAATCGTACCTTATAATGAGAAAGCTATTGATCCTCGTTAATCTTAAAGACCGGCATTTCTCTAATTGGTTCTATAAAAGGGTTACATGGGTGTGGAAAGAAATCGGTAGAAATTTGAATCCTTTTAACTAACACCCTTTGTTTTAGCTAGAAAAGTATGACTGAACTGCATCACATTCGTGAACTGTTGGGCTTTCCTTAACTGTGAAGTTTGTTATTTATTAACAGTATTAAAAGAGTAGTTATGGGTCCGCCTTAGCATACGAATATTGGACCCCCCTTCTTTCAATTTTGTTCAAGACCAGTAATAGTTAGGAAAAATTATTCTTTTTTTTTGTTTTCTATTATTTTAGGGTTGGGTAAGACAATTTCTGGCCCGTGCGCTACGGCTAGGACAGGCTAGGGGGCGGGAGGTTGTGGCCACATGGTCAATAGATCCTAGTGTCACGGTTGAAATCTAAGTATAAATTTGACGTGGAGGGGGGTCTTAAAATCGTATTTTAGGAAATGCCAAACTTAGTGTGGAAGGAAGTTTTTATGAATTGGTGTTCATGCGCCTTTAGCATCAAACATTACTCTACGAATAAACTTGTTTACTTAAGTCTTAATTTGATGAAATATTTTTTTTTTTTTACTTTAAACGATTAATGCATTCTTATTATGAACGGTTAAATCTACAGATTGCTGGATTTATCACTCATTTGATGAAGCGTCTTCAGCGCAGCACAGTTCGTGGTATCAGCATCAAGCTGCAGGAGGAGGAGAGAGAGAGGAGGGACAACTATGTTCCCGATGTTTCTGCTTTGGAACAGGTCCGAGCTTTTGTTATTTCGTCATTTCCACCTTTCTTGATCTTGGACAAATTATTGGATCTATATGCATTCACGATCAGGAATGAATTAAAATAATTCATTCCTTTTGCACGTCTGCTAGAATATATATTAGGATAGGACCAGCTCATTTAGTTCTTTACATGGACAAAATGTTTAGAGGCTTATTCACAAACTAATTCAGTCTCTGAAATGGTTTTCACAAATATGCTTATGAATGAACTGGCAATGAAATTCCACTCCCAACCATAGAGATTGGGTCGAGATTGTTTAAGTTTACTATATTACGGGTTTATAAATTATTTCACAAACTGATCCAATTAGTGTGAAATTGTGCTTCACTCAATTATAATGATTCGTAGAGGCTTTTTCACAAACAAATCTGTGTGCAATGGTTTTCAAATGGTTAAATTGGCACTGAAACTCCTAACTTAATTTATGCGCCATCTCCAAGTAAATTTTTTTGAGATTGTAGAAATTTTCCACAAACTGATCCAATTTCTGTAAAATAGTGCTAATTCAATCCAAATGATTCGTAGAGATGTATGACTAGAGTTTTTTGGATCACGATAAGATTTAATTATAAGTATACTCGATCAGGAATCAATTGAAATAATTCATTCCTTTTGCAGTCTGCTAGGATTAGAATATATAATAGGATAGGACCAGCTCATTTAGTTCTTTACATGGACAAAATGGGCTTATACATAAAGTAATTCAATCCCTTCAATGGTTTTTATTTCACTATAAAAAAATTTATAAGTTTATTTTTTTGTGATGGTACAAATTTTCCATACTAAGCTTTAAAAAAATCATTGCGCTTGTTTGCGATTAAACTTACTTTCATGCATTCACGATCAGGAATGAATTATAATAATTCATTCCTTTTGCACGTCTGCTAGAATATATATTAGGATAGGACCAGCTCATTTAGTTCTTCACATGGACAAAATGTTTAGAGGCTTATTCACAAACTAATCCAAATCATGTAAAATGGTCATGAAATCATTACGATTCTAAATACAATTTTGACACGTTTTTAACGATTAAACTAAATTAATGTGAGCATTCGCGATCAGGAATGAATTATAAAAATTCATTCCTGCACGTCTGCTAGAAAATATATTAGGATAGATTCAGCTCTTTTAGTTCTTTATATGCAGAACATGTTTAGAGGCTTATTCACATTTTAATTGTTTTTAACACATCTTTATTTTAGGACGTTATCGAGGTTGATGCTGAGACCAAGGAGATGTTGAAGATGATGGACTTCTCCTCCATCCCCGTCCAGCTAACCACCGGCCAGAGAAATAACTTCAGGAACTAGATCCTCCGGGCAGGGTTTATCAGGGCTCCGGTCTTGTTCTGCTGTCTTACCATTAAACATCGGTATAAATCTCGTAAAACATCCTAAATAGAGTTTCTGAGTTTCAGAATACAAAATGGTCGATGGAAAGGATAAGGCGAAGAATCCCATGAGGGACCTGAAGATCAGGAAGCTGTGCATGAATATTTGTGTTGGAGAGAGCGGAGATAGGCTTACCAGGGCCGGAAAGGTATATCTAGGAGTATTTATTTTATAAAACAACTCGTACCCTACGACAGTGCGGTAGGATGAGAAATGAATGTTGAATTTTTCGTTGATATTATTCTAAAATAATCAAAAGCAATTTTGAGTTAAATTAATTTGGAGACAAGTGGACGGGGGGTGGCTGATTTATTAAGAAAATAATTCCTCTGGGGGAAACTCTGTTTTTCTTAATTCTTTTTTTTTGGTGAAGGTTAATGACCTCCGGTTCCAAAATTACTTTGTGATCCGAGTGTAGGGCCTAAATGGGATGCTGCAAACGCAAAATTTCAGCCCTTAGCTCAATTTGTATTACTTAATACAGCCTGTTTAAAATTAGGTGTCCCCACTGCTTAACCCTAAGTTCATCAAGTTTCAGTAGTAAGGATTGACATCACCCAGGGAACCTGTGCACCTTATGATTTTATTACTTTCACTTATTCGGTTGTCAACCTATAATGTGCAAGTATCTATAAGGGTTGATGTTCAATTTATTTCACATTTTCGAAAATGCATATTAAAGGCCTGCTTCTATATTATCTTGAATATGAATGTAATTATCGTCTCAAAGCGGCAAAATGTTATTATGCCAAAATAATATTTAATTTCTATTTCTATTAGGTTCTTGAATCTTTGACTGGACAGAGTCCCGTCTTCTCCAAGGCTCGTTACACCGTCAGGTATCGATAAATTTTTAACACAACCTCTTTAAAGATTATTTGAAACTTTCAAAATAGTAGGCTTAAAAGTTTCGTCCGTTAAAAATGATTGAGAATCAATTATTTTATGAATTTTGAAAGAATTATTGGAATGCTTGTGAAACAAACAATAACGGAAATCGAAAACTAAAAGCAAATTTGATATCTTAAGGTTAAGGTGTAAGATTATGATTCAGAAATTCACCTCTTTATATTGGGTAAAATTATACTCATTACACCTAAAAACGCCGTTTTGTTTTACTCCGACATAAATTAAGATTCTTTCAATATTTGGTTATCTGAAATACCATTTAGTCCCTCAAATTTGGTTTGAATTGTAAAACCTGTCGAGTAATCAAACTTGTAAGAATAAAGTTGGAAAGTTGTAATTTTTTCCCTCTCTAATGATGAGTTTAATCATTCACCATCTTTCGCATGAAAGCTCCTGATTACATAGAACGGCCAACTGATAAAACCAATTTATAGTATTCACTTGTTTTTATTAATGTTCAGCCTTCTTATTCGTTCTTCTTCAGATCTTTCGGTATCAGACGTAACGAGAAGATTGCCGTTCACTGCACTGTCAGGTTAGTTCATATAAAAATGAATTTAAAATCGGGGTAAATATTCCCAGAAACTTGTCCACCTCCCTTTAAGAGTAACTCTTCTCTCTGTCAGGAATGTTCCTATTTTATCGCTGTCGCTAAATTATGAGACAATATGTATTTTAGGAAAGAAAAACTAGCGAGTGTCTTTTCTTCTTAGAAATTTGCATTAATGGCTTCTTGATATTGAGCGTTCTTTCCCCAACAGTGAAAAGGCTAATACAAAAACTTTTCTTGTTTCCGCTTGTCCTGTTTCAAAACGCCTAAAATATTTCCTTGAATTGCAGATGTTAAAACCGTGCAGCGAACCTTGATGTATAAAATTTTATTAACATTAAATGGGATATTAAAGGGACAGTAAAGGAAAAATGAAAGGGGGTATAGGCTGAAAGCTAATCACTTTAGCTCTTGATCGCGACCCATGAAAGTCATATCTGATGTTCCTGTCTCGAGAAATTTAAATAAAATTGTGTCAAATTTATACGAAAATTAATATATATACAATTTTGTATAAAAGTAGTGGGTTTAAACAGACCATATTCAGCAAATAAGCAACCAATCTGAAAACGATGATATCCCAGAGAAAGCTAATTGTAAATTAGGTTTACTTTTATATTTGTTATTTCTATTTTCAATAGATTTCATTCATAATATATTTTTACGTCCGTATTACTTGACCAGAAATTCCACCAATGGCAGTGCAGTAAAGTGGTCACGTGATACAGGCGGAGACACGTGACCAGTATACTGCCCTGCCATTGGTGATAGTTCTGGTCACGTGATTTAAGTTTCAGATTTTCAAAATTTTACATATATGAATTTTCGTATAATTTTAACACAGTTTTATATCAATTTCTCGAGACAGGAACATCAGATATGACTTTTATGGGTCGCGATCAAGAGCTAAAGTGATTAGCTTTCAGCCTATACCCCCTTTCATTTTTCCTTTACTGTCCCTTTAATATATGGAAAGCTGTAATCTTGTCTGCTGTTTGTACGATCATATCTCAGGGAGACCCAGGGAAATGTTCTCAGCTTTGTTTAAAGATTCTAATTTGAGCGGGTCGGCTTTAGTAGTGAACATTTAGTTTCCCGGTAAAATCTTTCAAGTGTGGTTAAACTGCGAGAGTATCTTTCAGTAACCTTGACAGGATCTAACAGAAGATATTTAATTTTTAATATTTTTGCGATTGTTTTTGGTTGTCATTATTTCTTTATAAACATTGGATGTAATATTAGATCAATTTCAGTTTTTTATAATTAAAGATTTTAGTTATGATTTTTTTATCAGGGGGCCCAAGGCTGAGGAGATCCTTGAGCGTGGATTCAAGGTCAAGGAGTACGAATTGAGGAAGGAAAACTTCTCCGACAACGGAAACTTCGGGTTCGGTATCCAGGAGCATATCGATCTGGGAATTAAGTAAGTAAAATAATGTCGTTTAAATTAAATTTTATAGATCGGTAGAAAGTGTGAAATATCCTTATTTTTATCTGAATCTTCCTGAAACTTTGCAGTGCACAATTTTATCGAGAACTAGAACTTTATTTGTGGATTTGTAAGGGGTTAGCAGACAGTCTGGTTAGATTTTTTTCATCTGTTTCCATGAAGTTTTAATTATTATATAAATGCGTTTTTTCACGTATTACATAAATGCATTTTTCACGTATTGCATTTTTCACGTATTACATTTTGCATATTTTCTCGCAAGTATGAGGTCCTAATTAACACTACAAATGATGAGTTCAATCTTTCACCATCTTTCGCATGAAAGTTTATGATTACAAAGAACGGCCAACTGAAGCTTATTTTTTGAATAGAGAAATATTTTGTTAATTATTTTTTTTGATAAATGAATATATTCTAGGTACGATCCCAGCATCGGAATCTACGGAATGGATTTCTACGTTGTTCTTGGCAGACCAGGCATGAACGTTATGCACAGGTAATCTCTCCCTTCTTTCCACTGGTTTCATTTGTAAAACCCCCTTCCTCCCACTGGTTACATTTGTAAAACCCCCCTTCCTCCCACTGGTTACATTTGTAAAACCCCCCTTCCTCCCACTGGTTACATTTGTAAAACCTCCTTCCTCCCACTGGTCACATTTGTAAAAACCCCCTTCCTCCCACTGGTTACATTTGCAAAACTGAAATTTAGCGGAAAGCGCAGATACAATTTAAAGAAAATTCGACTACTTTGCTTTTTGGATACAGTGTTGAGAAGTGTCTTGGAAGAATTCTAATTTCAATTTAACTTGTTTTCTGAAAGGGATATTATCTTGAAAACAACAGTCTCTAGAAAAGTATAAATTCCTTTTTTTTTGTTAAGGAGACGTAAGGTTGGCACAGTTGGACGTCAGCATAAGCTGACCAAGGAGGACGCCATGAAGTGGTTCCAGACGAAGTACGACGGTGTTATTCTCTCCACCAAGAAGCAGTAGATCACCCATGCGAACACTCCACGCCACCATCTTGTACACGCATGTTTGTTCGTATACTGAAATAAATTCCTTACATCCAGGATGTTCATCTGATTTTCTTTTACAGAACTAGAATGGATACGTCGCTAGATGCGAAAGCGATTCGGAAAATATTTTTAGATTTTTTCATAGAAAAGGTAAAAATGGAATGAATTTATTAACACATGTATTTCCTCTAACATCTATTGTATCTTGTTTTATTCCAAAATCTATTTGGCAGTTCCAGAAATTAATTGGGCTGTATTGCGGAACCTTTTTTATGTGATGTTAAATCAGGGTTGGTAAACACCTGGGATATTTTTTTTAAAAAATGGAACCCAGCCCAGCGAGTTTTATTTGGTTTTTTTAAGTTTTTGGGCTTTTTTGAGTTAAATTTGAAATCGAATAAACATACTTAAATTCATACTAATGCACAAAAATAATAGGACTGTTTAAGCAATAGGCGAATTTTATAGTTCTGAAAAAATAATATTGTGATAATAGGCTATTATCATATATTAATACTACTTTATTATTATAGTTCATTAACAAAAATAAATCGAAAATGGATTTAGTCATTAAATAAATAAGTCTGTTAGTATTTGATTTAGGAAAGGAAATTCCGACTTTTAGACTTTTGTTATTGTTTCAAATTATTAAATCCTATTTATTTTGTTAAGTCTTGTTCTGAAAAGTGAAAGTTCTATTGGTTTGACTGCTATGACTTGAACTGGTTTTATGTGATTTGACCTTTTAAATAGAGCTTTAAGCACTACTGCCTGCTAAGCTAGCGTTATGAACTTGTTTAGATGAATTAAATCGAGTATTATGATTTAAATTTACTTAAAAAGATTAGATTAGTCTCGCTATTATGAAAAAGAGAGGATCACGCATTAATCTCGATATCCACTATTCTAAAGTTTTCAGCTCAGACTAATTAGTTCAAACGGAAGATTATTAAGAAACTTGGAAATTCTTCGTTTTTCCCCAGAATTTCTCGTGTTTTTAGTTTTGACACTCGCGAAAAATATTTTTGTTTTTATGCCACCATGATTGATAGGAAAATATTCCTAGGTATGATCAACAATAAAATGAAAGTAAAGGAACGTAAAGGGGGTTGAAAACTTATCTATTTTTTGACATTTTTCTAATATACTTTCAGAGATGAGTTTTTTTGATTAACCCCCAAGCTAAAATTTGACCTTTAAATCTCCGATCTTATCTTGTATTAAGAAGTTCAGTAAGTAAGAAGATTTGGGACAAAGAAAGCTTAATAGAAATAGTCAAACAAATTGTCCTAGTGAATAGATAATTCCTCAATAGTATTGCAAGTTGGAAGGGGTTCTTTCGGTAAAGATACCAGGGTTACAGTAAATTGTTGGGAGAGTTTTAAGAATGATCAAATTTAAATAAAGATATTTAACTATTTAATTTTCAATTTTAAATAAATAAGCGCTGTGAAGGGAAACTTTGAATTAGATTAAGAAATCAGCTGGAAGAGCTGGAACAAGAATAATGTTTTTTTTTTATTGCACATCGCAATTTTTTTTGTTTTATTCGCTGAACCGTGAAAATTAAAAGTTTTATACGCTGAACTGGGAAAAATAAAAGTTTTATTCGCCGAACTGAAAAGAATAGAAGTTTTATTCGCTGAACTGAAAAAATAAAAGTTTTATTCGCTGAACTGAAAAAATAAAAGTTATTCGCTGAACTGAAAAAATAAAAGTTTTATTCTAAGCCTCGATTTCTTTTGATTACAATCCAAGTTCGAAGATTAATTTCTGTGACGCGGTTTAATGCGTTTTATTTTGTATTTAGAAGACGCATATCTACGTTCATTCTTCCTCAACTATCCCTCATGATGATCCTACGCTTCTCTTCGCTAACGCAGGAACATAAACTGTCTCTTTAAGTGACATTCCATCTATAGAGTGACAAGCCTTATTCTCAACAAGACCCTGTCTCGGACCGTGGATTTGTTTTCTAGAGAAAATCATTAGTACACAGTGCGTAGGATCCAAGGGGCAAAATATCAACCAAAAACTGTTAAAAAATTGTCTTACTGTAAACCTAAATCTGAAATATTAAACAAAGAAAGACTATAAAAATTTCCTGATTTCTGATTCTGAATGGTTCATCAAAGTTTAGCATGAAAAAAGCGAAAATAATGAGACAAAATTGAAAATTCTCGTTGTCAAAAAAATTCATTAAATTAAAAAAATAAGTCTTCTTTTTGCGATTAATCCTTTTTCAAAATGGATAATATTAAGCCAATTGGATTCGGATTCCACGGAAAAATGGGCTAAAAATATTTTTTAGATTCCGATTCTTAGCACGGGTCATCGCATTATTTATGATCATTATAAAAAATAGAAAATTAACTCTTGAATCTTCATGTTGAAAAACAATGTCATCGAGAATCAATTTCTGTTATGTTGGTAGGGATGAATCAATTCAAGCCTGTGTTCGTCGGTACTGCGGATCCGAATAGTGATATGGCGAAATGGACGAGGTAATTTACAACCAAAATTTTTTATTTTTGAATTTTTGAATTTTTGAATTTTTGAATTTTTAGTGAAAAGTGGAAGTTCAAAGTTTTTGTTTTAAGTGGTAAACATTGTAATTTCATAAAAAATTTTAAAATTTTATTTATGAAAAAAATGCACGTCATGGAATAATAAATAAACCGTTCGTGTAAATCTAAAAGAAAAAGTTAATGTCAGTGAAACAGGAAAGAGAGCAAGCAAAGATTTTGAAAAAATTCACTCTCAAGATTCTAAAAATTCTTTTTTTTACCTTCTTAAAATTACTTAAGAAGGTAATTTATTTCCATCAGAGTAATATTAATAAATGTTAACCAGAAGCCAGAGTCAACTGAAAAAATCTTAATTTTTTGTTCCGTTGTCGCTCTGCGCAAGTATATTTAATATATATCCCTAAACAAATAAAGAATAAAAAATAAATAATGTATTAAAGGCTGGGATTTATAGCGAATGTCCCCCCCCCTCTAAAAACTAAAGGGACTGATTGCGAATTATTTTTCAGGGTTGTGAATACGCAGAAGTGTATCAGGGCCGGAGGAAAGCATAATGACCTTGATGACGTAGGAAAGGATGTTTACCATCATACATTCTTCGAGGTTAGTATATAACCAATATCATTATCTTAAATTCCAAGTAAAGCAATATACGTATGTGTGTATGTTTTTTATCTACAACCGGCCGAACCGTAACAGTAAAAAGGTTTTAAGTCCCCCCCCCCCCCCCACGGAATAAAATACAGGGACATAGGTGGTCTATCCGTCAGATTGACTCTTTATTTGTTTTACCGGGAACGTGTCGTGGAGTACCTATGATATTAGAACTAAAAAATACTCTTGTTTTTGTTAAAAGGGCCCTCCCCTCCCCACTCAAAATATCGAAGCTGAACTTTGAAGTTAAAGGGGAACTACTTTAAAGGTTTTATAATAAATTTTAAAGTACTTATAATTTTAATAAAGTTTTTTTTTAAATTATTTGAAATTAAAAAATAAATTATCTCATGATTGTTCATTTTAAAGGGGTGGGGGGGGGGNCATCATTGTCATCATTGTCATCATTGTCATCATTGTCATCATTGTCATCATTGTCATCATTGTCATCATTGTCATCATTGTCATCATTGTCATCATTGTCATCATTGTCATCATTGTCATCATTGTCATCATTGTCATCATTGTCATCATTGTCATCATTGTCATCATTGTCATCATTGTCATCATTGTCATCATTGTCATCATTGTCATCATTGTCATCATTGTCATCATTGTCATCATTGTCATCATTGTCATCATTGTCATCATTGTCATCATTGTCATCATTGTCATCATTGTCATCATTGTCATCATTGTCATCATTGTCATCATTGTCATCATTGTCATCATTGTCATCATTGTCATCATTGTCATCATTGTCATCATTGTCATCATTGTCATCATTGTCATCATTGTCATCATTGTCATCATTGTCATCATTGTCATCATTGTCATCATTGTCATCATTGTCATCATTGTCATCATTGTCATCATTGTCATCATTGTCATCATTGTCATCATTGTCATCATTGTCATCATTGTCATCATTGTCATCATTGTCATCATTGTCATCATTGTCATCATTGTCATCATTGTCATCATTGTCATCATTGTCATCATTGTCATCATTGTCATCATTGTCATCATTGTCATCATTGTCATCATTGTCATCATTGTTATCATTGTTATCATAAGTATCATCGATTTTGATGGTTATTATATCGTTAGAACTGACGAGAGTCAACCCAGACCGAAATATATTTTCAATAAATGTGGAACTAACATCTACTTTTTTACTCTACAGAGTTTTGTCCATCACCATCACCGAATTTAAATCATTATTGTTGTTGTTAGATGCTGGGGAATTGGTCGTTTGGCGACTACTTTAAGAAAGAGATCTGTACGTGGTCCTGGGAACTCCTCACAGAGGTGAATAATTATATTTATTTTGAAGAAAAAATTATTTTATTTGACACAGAAAAATGAAATATGTTTTCAAGGAGAGTACACAAGAATTATTTTGAATTATAGGATGAACATTTTTTTACAGACTTCCTGTTATTATTTTATAATATTTGATTTTGTTTTTCTAGGTGTTTAAGCTGGACCCTGCCCGCCTTTATGTCACCTACTTCGGCGGTGACGAGGCTAGCGGCCTCCAGCCTGATCTCGAGGCTAAACAGCTCTGGTTGGATCTAGGAGTAGGAGAGTCAAGGTAGGCAGGATAGAATTCAAGGGCATAAACTTGAAAAAGAATCGTATCCCCCCTGTCCCGATGTTACGTATAGAAAAGTTGGGATTTTAAAATCTCAGCCCTGGAAGCTTAAATATTCCAGATCCAGCGGATGGTATATTTTGATATTTTTTCTGTACGATAGTTAGATCACAAATTAGTCCATCTACAATCTACATATTTATTTATATATTTAGTTCACACATATTAATTTCTTATGATTTTCATTTTTTTTGATATTAAGGATTCTGCCTGGAAATATGAAGGACAACTTTTGGGAGATGGGAGATACAGGAAAACAGTCTATTATCATTTATTGATATCATTATTAATATTATTATAATTATTATTATTATTATTGTGTTATTATTACTACAATTTCATAGATAATCCTGTTTTTTAAAAAGAAGAGACCCTATCAGGGGATAAAGTCGAAAAATTGGGGGTTAATTAGTTGAATGGGGATTAGACTGAAAGTATTTAGGACCTTGTGGACCTTGTTCTGAGATTCATTATGATAGGATTGGGGGAGGCAGAGATGCTGCACATCTGGTAGTTATTCATTCAACCATTTATTCATTCATTTATTCATTCCTTCATCCCTTCATTCCTTTTATTCCTTCATTCCTTCATTCCTTTTTTCCTTTATTTCTTTATTCCTTTATTCCTTTATTCCTTTATTCCTTTATTCCTTTATTCCTTCATTCCTTCATTCCTTTATTTCTTCATTTAGAAAACTATTTTGTTAATAAAGGTGAATATGGATGACCCTGATGTTCTTGAGATCTGGAATCTTGTATTTATGCAGTATAACAGAGAACAGGACAAATCTCTCAAACAGCTTCCTAAGTAAGTTCTAATTTCTATGAACTGAAAACAGTGATTTAAATTTTCTGGAAAAAATATTAGTCTCTCTCGAAAATTCTTGAAAATATGTACCAATGACTGAAACTACCTTAAATTCCAGCCATTTTTAGTTATTAAAAAGGTTGCTGATAAACTTGTTACTTCTGATAAATGCCGCTTAGGATTGATCCCATTAAAATTGCTTCTTACAATTTGACCATGCTTACCCTGACTTGACCTGACTTGACCTAACTTGACCTAACTTGATTTTATTTGACCTTACTTGACCTTTCATAACTATTCATGACCTTACATGAACTTATTTGACCTTACTTGACCTTACTTGACCTTACTTGACCTTACTTGACCTTACTTGACCTTACATGACCTTACTTGACCTTATATGACCTAACTTGACCTTACTTGACCTTTCTTGACCATACTTGACCTTACTTGACCTTACTTGACCATACTTGGCCTTACTGGACCTTACTTGACCTGATGTAACCTAACCTAACTGGACACTACTTGACCCTGTGTCACTCTTTGACCTTATTTGACATTTGACCCTTCTTGATCTTTTTTCTATTTGACACTAGTTGTTTCATTTTGTCTCCATTTGTCCTAACTTTTTCCTTTTTACCCTTTTTGACCCTTCTTTTTGGGCCTAATTTTCCTTGCTTAACTTTATTTGTATTTCAGTAAGCATATTGACTGCGGGATGGGATTCGAGCGTCTTGTGTCCGTAGTTCAGGAACTAAGCCATTTTCATTCTGTATATGTTGTGAACACTGAACACTCCCTTAAAAAGGGGTGAAAATAGGCAGTTGCCTAATGGAGTTACGCGTGCTTGCCGTGTTAAATTACAAGAAAGAGAATTATTAGTCTATATTTTAGGGTTAGGTTAGGTAAAGACACTTTCTGGGCCGAGCCCTGCAGCTAGGACAGGCTAGGGGGCCGAGAACATGTTCTCTCTGTCTTGTAATTTAACGCGGCGAGCGCGTGTAACTCTTTTGGACTTTGCCGTGACAATATAGCTATTTTTAGTAAAACTTCACTGCGGTAAAGATGTTCATTTTGCTTCAAAAATTAGTGGTAAACATATTAGTATTTCTTTTGTTTGAAGCGATTTTTTTAAAATATGAAAATGACCTTAAAATAGGACAAGCGTTCCAATTACGACACTGACCTTTTCCTTCCGTTCTTCCAGCATATACAAGCTGGAACAGGTACAGCATGCATTATGCATCATACATCATGGATATGATGTATCATGTCTTTGCATGTCGCATTAACGCCCATCATAATGCATCATGCATGAATTTTCCCCCTCCAGAATTTTTGTTATGGTTTTATTTGCTGAATTGGGGAAATAAATAATGTTTGTGGGTAGAGTGATGTCAAATTTTTCATTGTTTAAAGGTCATCCAAATGAATTCATAAATTTATTTACCCCTGTTTTTCTAACTTCCAAACTATTTTATACCAGAGTTTTATTTTCTAATTATTGTTTAATATTGCAGGAGTACGTGCCTACGCTGGTAGGGTTGGAGCTGAGGATACAGATGGAATTGATATGGCATACAGGGTCCTTGCTGATCATGCTAGGCAAACAATAATCTAAATATTCGCTTTTTTGTTTTTGATATTTCGTCATTGAAAATATCACAGAGGGACCCATAACATTTTGGACTAGGAAGACGACTGTTAGACGGAACTTATGATTATCGATTGTTCAAAGAATAAAAAAAGTGTACACCATTTCGCTAAAAAAGTCGATTATACAGCTACTAGTAAAACTAATCGCTTTATTAAATAATTAATTAAGGTCGTCTTTTACGTTTATAGGTATTATATTTTACAATCTCGATAACAAAAATAATTTACCATACATGACGTTCTTACATAAATATTACATATTCTAGCTTGAGAACCCAGTGTTGCACAGAGTACTCATAGTTACTCCCGCAGTTTACCCACGCTTGTTTGGTCTTAAGTTACGATTTTAGCAATTTTTCTCCATAAAAGTGGACCTGGACCAACTCAACTTAGAATCTTAAAACCAAGCTAAGAACATTCCCGTAGTTATCCAGAAATCACCATTAAAAATTTGAGGCAAATTGGTCCAGGGGTTTATGAGTTATGATCTGCCATACAAACAAACAGACAAACAGAGATTACAACTTTTTATATAGTAAAGATGTATTTATAAAATAGATGTAATAAATTTTGGAATCTTGTTTGAAATTAGAACATTAACTATTGCACTCTCTGACGGTGGAAGACCTGACAATGTTGGCAGGGGCTATGTTCTCAGAAGGTAATGTAGGGGTATTTATTTTCAAACTTTTCTGGGGGTTTTTTTTCGACTAAATTAATTTATATTTGTCTAAAAGATGCATGAATTGTTCATTTACTGCTTTACACAGAATTATATCTCTCTAGGGCCACGTTATATAATTTAATTAAATTAAAAAAACGTTCTGAAGGATTTTAGTGGGTTTCTTCTTCATATTTTATTATAATTATTTATCTCTAGAATTCTCCGACGAGGTGTGAGATACGCCTCCGAGAAACTAGGCGCTAAACCTGGATTCTTCGCTAGCCTTGTTCATACAGTTGTACAGGTTCTTGGAGAAACATTCCCTGAGGTACGTAACCAAGATATTAGGTTCTTTTTCACAAACGATCGCCCCTCCTCGAACCCATCCTAGCTACAGAGCTCGCTCCCCTCCCCATTGCAACCTTCGGCGTTTCAGAAGGCTAACCTAACCTTTGGGAAAATTACTGGATTACTGGAAAATTTGTCGCTGGTAGATCACTTTTGTGACATTTTCAGCGAGTCAATATATCTTTTCTGTTTCTACTGATAGTGCATTAAGTTAAACCAGGGATCTGGGCGCCCCTGACACCTTCACCAGGGATCTCGGCACCCCTGACAACTATCACATTGAAGAAACATACACATTCTTAAAACTAATCAATGAGGTGGCATTTTTAATGTCTATTGGCAAAACACATATCACCGTAAGCCAATGATAAATAGTACAGATAATAATATTATACATTATTATGATATACACACTACAATTTATATAAAGATTGTTTACAGCTAAACCCTTTTAATACATTCTCAGGGCAAAGAGATATAGAAATTGAGAAGGGTGTTAAAGCATTATTCTTTGACAAAATAGGAGATTTCTAGCAAACAAACACATTTAACTAAGTGTAATTTCTCAGGCTCGGCACGCTTACCCTGGTAAGGATAATCGGTTTTCATTCATCTTTTCTATTAAATTTTATTGACCCCAAAACCCCCCCCCCCCCCCCCCCAGTATCATGACCAGCTTAATTAAAATTTGACCAATCCCTATTTAAGTTGATATTGAAGGCGCTTAATCTTTAAGGGGCAGTTTACTAACTATGGCTAGTTTGAGTACCCCTTTTTTGTAGCTAATAAATTTCATGTTTGTTGTGCAGGAAAAACATTAATTAATTGAACTGGAGCATAATTACTAGATAAGCAATTGAGCTGCTAATAATAGTCATAAAGGTTGTCTTCTCCACATAGAAGAATCCAAGAGCATCAAATGGTGCCTCCTTGTCAAGCATGTTTATAACTAAACAAGTAGAAACACTTTTATCACAAAAAAAATCATAAGAGTGACACTATCAGTGATAAATTACCTATTTGAAGTCTAGATATTTCCCATTCAGCACATTTTAAAGCCATCAAACTAATAAGTTTTTTTTAAATAAGAGAAAACAATCAAATTAGACAATAAAAAAAATTTGGTTATTTATCTTTAGTCCTGTTTTTATTTCCTAAAATGGACAAGGTTTCAAATTAAACTTTTTCTTGCCCAGACAGAAATGTCTGGAAAACTGGAAATAAAACCGCATACTTCCAATGCCAGATGATTTCAATACCCCTCTAAAAATGAAACTGATCGTATTTTCTATTATTCATATATACTACATATACATTAAATCTATTTAAAGATTTGTTAATAATAAAATAAAAAATTAATATCTACATATTATCATTTAATACTGAAGCACAGTAAGGGGAATTCAAAACATAAATATAGTATGATTGCAAATTAATGACCACTAAACCTGAGTTTGTGACTGTATGCTGCCAATGCTTGATGTGTTTCATCACAGAAACTGATGATGTAGTAGATAAGCAGGAGCATTCCTAAGACACTAAGCACATCAGGTGCTAAGAAATGGTACCTTCCACCAGACACGGATTTTATACCAATAAAAGTAAAGTAGAGAACAAAGACTATCATGAAAGGGAGAATAGAGAAGAGGAGCGGACTGAATCCTTTTTTGATATTCCTTGTTTTCTCCATTAGCAATATAGACTTCTCAATCATATCTTGAATCTCTGAGTCCGATACCTCTAGGTGGATTCCTTCTTCTATGATTGGTGAACAGACAAAACAAATAACAAGCATAGCCACAATAATCCCCATCATGTTTAAAGTATAGAAGAATAGAAATGCAATTGGGAGCATGATACTGTTAAAACGTACAATGGCATTGTTAAGATGTATTGCAATCACTACAGCCATCATAATGATGTACATTAGTAGCCACATTTTCTTATAAAGCTTATTTACTTTCAGTGTTATCTGGGACTTGTCCACCAATTTACCAGTTAGGATTGGATACAACAACGACATTCCAATATTTTGAATCGTGTGAATATGTTTTGCCATCTCCTCCATTATTGTTAACTGATGTCCTGAACTTTGTTCAGATATTTGTGTTTGGGCATATATCAGCATTACTAATGGAATTATGCAAAATACCATATATGCCATTACAGTTTTCCATGACACAAGTTTAAACTTCAAGTATCCGTTTATGTCCTCAGAAACTGGAATAAAACCTAAATATGACAGATGAGTTTATTTGGAGGAGTATTTTTGTTGATGTGATAAAGTACAATAAACAGAAATTACTTGAAAACAAACAAATTATCTTGTTAACATCCAAAGTGTGAAAGCATAAAGGGTTCCTAGGGGTAAGCTGAACAGATTTATGACATTTGATTTTATTTTAGGAGTTTCGATCACTAATTAGGCGTGCAGCCAAAAAATTGGAAGATTTGAACCAAAAATGAAGGCAGCCCCCCCCCTTCCCTACATCAAATGTGCCATCTCCACCATCCCCTTTATTAGTCCTAGGGGTATACATTTTGTTTAAGCATCCTTCTCTCTTCATAAAGGGAGTGTTCGCGAAAAATGAAAGGGTTTAGGCTTACGTCGAAAAATATTCTATGGTGATCGCTACAAATCTTACTTCTATCTGTTGCGTCTATAAGGAGAAAAGTATTAAAAAAGACTCAGACCGATGAACGTAGCGTCCATACAAATTAAGAAAGATGAAATATTCAACTTGGATCGTAAAAAATCAATTAAATTCTAAACAAATCATTCAGATATTACAAACTGTAATCATAGAATTTTGTTCGACACATTCTCATATTTTTTTATTTTTAATGATCATTGTGTTACTTTTATAAACATTCGTTCCTGTTTTATCTCTATCGCAAAATTACTAAATTTACCTATGTGGACAAGCATCTTGATCAGATGGAAAGATCTCCAGGTTTTGTTGAAGTTTGATAACATTGCAATCCTTTGAAGGTTTCTAACTAAACTGCTGGGTAGGTTTGCTGCACGGGAAAGGAGTTCTAGTTAGTGCTGCCCTTGGTAAACACTTCTTGTTTTATTATCGATAATTGCAATCAATAAACAGAAACCATCTTTAAAACAGAAAATACTCAGTTAAATACTTAGCACTGCCTGAAAAGAAAGAGGAATAAAAACTTTGAAAATTCTGCTTTTATTTTGCAGATGACGCCGTTTCAGTTTCAATTTAGTTTCATCTGATATGTATAATTTTAATCCGTTTGTTCAAATCAAAAGTTTCATACTAAGTTGATCCGTTTGAGGCAGCAAGGTTTAAAGGTCAAATTGTTCAGGTGAAGAAGGATCCTCAGACTGTGATTGATATCATCAACGAGGAGGAAACTCAATTTCTTAAAACTCTATCCAGAGGACAGAAATTACTGGACAGGTTAGTAGAGAATTCTGATCAAAGGTAGCGTAAGCGTAATTTCAAGGGACCCTCCATGCAAAGATGGTGATGCCCGATTCACAACAATACTCTTAAAACATATATCTGATTAATAATGTGGAAGATATTGTAGTTTTTCTATGTATTAAGTTCTTATAATTTCTATATGATTTCATGCAAGAGGAATGTGTGAGTTACTTTTTTACAGTAATCACAATAAAAAAATATCAGATTTTAAAATTATAAACATTGATATCTAATTCTTACTCAATCAGACAGTAAGGTTACCAATGTGAATCTGGCATTGCAATCTTTAAGTGAGAGGATTGTGGGAAAGGACTACTGTTCTGGTCAACATCCTCAACACCTAAACTTTTAGTTTTATATCAATACTTTAACCGGGAAATAACTGGGAAACTGGGAAATAACGGTTTAAGAACATGTTAAATATGATGAGGGTGGAAATGATATTTATTTAGCTAAACCACTTTTTAATCTGGCAAATATATTATTTCGGACTTAAAGAAAAACTTTATTTGTCAGAACCATCAGTAAGCTTGAAGGAGCAAAAGAGCTGCCTGGAGATATTGCCTGGCGTCTCTATGACACCTACGGGTTCCCTGTTGACCTAACCCAGCTTATGTGTGAGGAGAGGGGTCTTCAGGTTGGTTAGAGATTGGTCGTTATATTGGACGGTTGTTTTGGTCAGTTTTTGATGCTTAGTTGCTATTATGGTCAGTTGTTATGATGCCCAGTTGCTATTATGTTCAGTTTTTTTGATGCTCTGTTGCTATTATGGTCAGTTGTTATATTGCTCAGTTGCTATTATGGTCAGTTGTTATGATGCTCAGTTGCTATTATGGTCAGTTGTTTTGTTGCTCAGTTGCTATTATGGTCAGTTTTTTTGATGCTCAGTTGCTATTATGGTCAGTTTTTTTGATGCTCAGTTGCTATTATGGTCAGTTGTTATGATGCTCAGTTGCTATTATGGTCAGTTGTTATGAATCTCAGTTGCTATTATGGTCAGTTGTTATGATGCTAAGTTGCTATTATGGTCAGTTGTTATGATGCTAAGTTGCTATTATGGTCAGTTGTTATGAATCTCAGTTGCCATTATGGTCAGTTGTTATGAACCTCAGTTGCTATTATGGTAGTTTGTCATGAAACTCAGTTGGTATGATGTTTAGTTGTGATGATGGCCAGTTGTGATGATGGTCAGTTGTTATGATGATCAGTTGCTATGATGCTCATTCTTTATAATGGTTAGCGTTATTATGCTTAGCTGTTATTATGGTTGGTTGTCATTATGGTTAGTTAACTGTCATTATGGTTAGTGGTTATTATGGTCAGTTGTTATGATGGTCAGTTGTTATGATGGTCAGTTGTTATGATGGTCAGTTGTTATGATGGTCAGTTGTTATGATGGTATGTTGGTATGCTGGTCTGTTGATAGGCTGGTCAGTTGTTGTTATGGTGGTCATGTGTTTAATTGTAATATTTTCCAATGTAATAATAGTTCTGTATGCTAGGTTGATATGAACAGCTATGAGAGCTGTAAAGCTGCTGCCCAGCTGGCCAGCCAGGGTAAAGGAGCAGGAGCAGAGGATACAATATCTCTAGACGTTCATAGTATTAATGAACTCAAGGTAGTACACAGCACACAGTACACAGCACACAGTACACAGTACACAGTACACAGTACACAGTACACAGTAGACAGTACACAGTACACAGTACACAGTACACAGTACACAGTACACAGTACACAGTACACAGTACTCAGTACACAGTACACAGTACACAGTACACAGTACACAGTACACAGTACACAGTACACAGTACACAGTACACAGTACACAGTACACAGTACACAGTACACAGTACACAGTACACAGTACACAGTACACAGTACACAGTACACAGTACACAGTACACAGTACACAGTACACATTACACAGTACACAGTACACAGTACACAGTACACAGTACACAGTACACAGTACACAGTACACAGCAGTACACAGTACACAGTACACAGTACACAGTACACAGTACACAGTACACAGTACACAGTACACAGCAGTACACAGTACACAGTACACAGTACACAGTACACAGTACACAGCAGTTCACAGTACACAGTACAAAGTACAGTAGAGGAAAATACCATATTTCTATAGGTTGCTATCTTGTAATTTTGTTTTGTACCATGTGTTTTTTTTCAATATTGGATTAAGACTTTAAAACTTATTTTAATGATCGGTTTTTAAGAAATTCTTTTTTACTTTTCCAATTGTGATTTGTTAAAATTGCTTTTGTATTTTATTTACAGAGTGTTTTTATATAATTTTTTTATCACATCGCGTTTAAAAGATAATGCGGGGTACACCAAATTTAGATTTTTAAATGTTTTAGCCATGAGTCATATTTCTGATCAAGAATGAGAAGGTTATATGCAAACCTTTTATTTCTAATTTAATTTTTTCTATAATTTGAATTTTTTTAGGAGAAAAGCTTCCAGCCCACAGACGATTCTTTCAAGTATGCTTACGAAGCAGAATCTTCTAGCAAGGATTCCAGGTTAATTAATACTATTTCATACTTTTTTAAAAATGGCATTTTAAGAAATCACTTTTTTATGTAGCACATTTCAATCCAATGCGGTCCCAAGTGGATATGCCGCTGCCCCCTTAAGGATTAGAAGCTCTACGTTGGGGTCCCTTCCAGATTTACACTTGATTTGATTTAAATCCAATCTTATTAACGTCCTTTTGGGATTGGGATGTGGTCAAAGGAAGGGTTTGATTGATTGATTGAGTGGATTATGGACTATAAACAATAAAATGTAAGGTTTACTTTAAGCTATAAACATTTGCCATCCTCCTCGTCTGGATTCGGTTATTAAAAAAATGATCTTATGTTTTTAAAAATTCAATAAGATTTTTATACGATTTATTTTACAAGTTTTTCTTCAATTTTATTTGTCAACATATTGCTGTTTAAATGAACAGTTAAATCTCTTATTATTTCTGCTGAAGGGACAACTATTTTTACTTCATATTCATTTTTAATTTCAATTTCCAATTTTCATAAATTTATTAAAAAAAGTGTGAGGCTATGATTATGATACAATTTTAAAACTTTGATGTTCTGAAATATTGTACAGTGTACAGGGCGTTATCCTGACCAAGTGTTCTATTCTTACTTAGTTTCTACTTATAGATATAAGTTCCACGCCTGTACAGCTAAGATTCTGGGTATCCGGCACAGTAAACAGTTCGTAGACTCAGTTTCTAGTGGACAGGTACCAAGGGGTTTATAGTTACCTGAAAAATGTTTCATACTAAGTTGATCCGTTTGAGGCAGCAAGGTTTAAAGGTCAAATTGTTCAGGTGAAGACGGATCCTCAGACTGTGATTGATATCATCAACGAGGAGGAAACTCAATTTCTTAAAACNGGGGGGGGGGGGGGGGGGGGGGGGAGTGTAAAACGGAGGAAATAGACAGGAGTGTGGTGTACTACTGTATAAAATGATATAATTTACAGGAGTGGGGTGTACTGCTGTATAAGATTATATTATGACAGGAGTGTGGTGTACTGCTGTATAAGATTATATTATGACAGGAGTGTGGTGTACTACTGTTTAAAATGATATTATGTACAGGAGTGTGGTATACTACTGTATAAAATGATACTATGTACAGGAGTGTGGTGTACTGCTAGACCGTACATGTTTCTATGCTGAGCAAGGAGGACAGATTTACGATGAAGGATTTCTTGTCAACGGAGAAAATGAGATGAAGGTTAACAACGTTCAGGTAAAAAGATAAATGTAAAAATCCATCAAAGGTTATATTCTATTTTATATTATATTATAAAGATTTATTCACACACAAAGATATAAATGGTGTATTTTAAATTTGTTTAAATAAATTTTTTAAAATACAGGTTTCCAAAAGAAAAAAGAAAAATATGCAAAATTATGCACAAATAGACAATATTGATCATTACTCATTACAATATTTATGATTTCAGTTATAACTTATTCATCGAATCCTTCAACATATAAATTATTCATTCTTGTATTGAAAAGTTCTTGTAAAACCGGAACTTTCCATTCATGTTCCAATGGGACATCAAAATATTTCTTTTGTTTCTTAACTAACATTTTACTAAGATCCTGATAACTAATTCACAACCAAATATATATATATATATATATACTTTGTTGCCTGTAACCGATAAACCTCAAAACTGTTGAATCCATCGGGCCAAAAGAAATCTTAGAAAAAAGTTAGATTTTTTTTGAAAATGCGCCAATTCGAAAAGATTATTCTAAAAGCCTAGTAACATCAAAAGGGACTGTCGGCATACTTTTAAATTACGAATGAATTTCAAGCCCTGTATCGGATTTAAAGGAAGATAGTATCGTTTTTCTGCCATTCTTTAAGTAGGGTGGGGCAATTTGAATAAGAATGTGTGAGTGTAATTTTAATAATCCAAATTTGGAGGCATTTGTTAAAGAAAGGGGGAATTTTTGAATTTGAGTTTGCTTTTAGAGTGTAGGTTTAAAAAAATTAATGTAGGGGCATATTTTTTTCAAATTTTCGAGAAAATTAGCAATGTTTTTAACTATATTGACCCCTGTTAATGATTTCTTGCCCTACAGAGGCGGAGGCAAGCTTTCTTAAGGGGGGCAAGCCCCTTCCCTTAATCAGGCTAGGGGGGCCGGCCCCTCTACCCCATCCCTTTGTTGCGCGCCTGATTTTATGTATACTGTATGTATAGTTGTACAATGTACACTCTAGGTTCGTGGAGGATATGTACTGCATATGGGTACAGTGGAAGGTACACTGAAACTAGGAGATACGGTCGAACTCAGGTAAATCTTAAATTTAAATTTTTGTTTAATAAAATATTTATACAATTGTGCATTGTGCATATTGGTCAAAGTTGAAAATGCATCAATTTAAATAGAAAAATCGGCACAAATTTGAGAACTAATATAAATGGCGACTTTTAAGAGTGACTAAAGTTGTTATTAGAAAAGGGGGCGCGAAGTGCTGTACTTAGCTTAGTTTCGGATTATATACTAAATACTTCTATGTGTTGGTTTCCAAAGCATCAATAATGGTTGGATTTGAATGTTTCATGATCCTACAAAGCTTATAAAGACAAAAGCCATAAATATTTTTTTATTTGTTTTAGTGTTGATGAAGAGAGGAGGAAAAATGTGATGAACAATCATACTGGGACTCATATTCTTAACTTCGCTTTGAGACAGGTACCATTTTATCCTTCCCTCAGATAAAACATCTAAAGATGTTAGATTTAAGTTTTTTAAAATTAACTTTTTTTTCAAAGTTGTGATTTTTTTCAATATTGAAATCCGAACATCAGTTGTAAAATTTCCCAAATTAAAAATAATTCTGCAATTTCGTTTTAAATAATTTATTTAAGAGGTGAAAAAATAGATTTTTCAACGATTTTTCTCCTTTTCTTGTTTCCTAATCAATTATTTTTTTGCCCAGGTTCTTAGCTCTGACGCGGATCAAAAAGGATCTTTAGTTGCACCTGATAAACTCAGGTATGATTGATTGATGTTTTGTCGCCCCTGATAAACTCAGGTAGGCTTGATTGATGTTTATTTGCCACTGATAAACTCAGGTATGATTGATGTTTATTGTTTAGTTGCCCCTGATTAACTCAGGTATGATTGATGTTTATTGTTTAGTTGAACCTGATAAACTCAGGTATGATTGATGTTTATTGTTTAGTTGCCACTGATAAACTCAGTTATGGTTGATGAAAGTCGTCAATAAATTAAGAATAGAATTTACAAGGCTTGAAAATAAAAAAACTTATTCCAATTAAATTAATGAAGTCATCAATATGAAACCAAATACGGAACCCCAAAAACTCTCAATCTTGCTGAAATCCAGGCTCTCATAAATTCTAAAGTTTAAAATCTGTATATAGTAGTACATAATATTGCCAAAAAGAGTATGCACAAATAAGTTAAATGAGTAATCTAATTTTCATACTTTCTCTTATCTGTGAGCTTATTTTCTCATTATTTTAGCAATAAACGTTATCTTATCTTATCTTATCTAACCAATTCAATCAAGTTTACCTATATCTCCTAAATTTTCCTCCCATTAAGGGATGGTTGTTGCAATCTCAAGTGAATCTCCATTTAAACTAAAGAGGTCCATGAACCTTAATATATGTTTCTGATCATTATTAAGAAATCGTGGCTTTTCGCGCGTGCAAAGCGTTAAGTTCTGAAAAAATCAGTGATTTCTCATTTATTCTCTCTCAGATTATTTTAATCGTACATGCCAAAGTTTAATTGGATGTTCGATTGAAAGTATAACTACAGTCCCTCACATCTACATTGATGAAGTAGGATCATAGAAACTATTTCTGGTTAGGTTTGATTTCACCAGCAAGGCTGCGATGAGCCCAGCACAGGTGAAGAACGTTGAGGAGATAGTGAACAATGTGATCAACAAGAATCAGGAGATCTACGCCAAAGAGGCATCACTTGCTGTCGCTAAGACAATACAAGTAAGCATATTCTATCGATCTGGAAGTAGGCTGCATGGTTCAATGTCGAGTTTCCTTTTTGTCTATATTGTTTAGGATCCGAAACATTTTGGCTTCCTGGACCAGGATCCGGAACAAAGCCTGCTAAAAAAATGTTTGCTTTTAAATAAATCAACTCTAAATAGTTAACTAATAAAAGCCAAGTAAAAACTTACGAATCAATTATCAATTTTAACATTATTTTCTGTCCTGCAATACAAAAGAATATCAGCAGCTTTTCAACAATCAAATAAGCTTCTTTATTTTTTCCTTAACAAGATTTGTCTTATATCGGCATTAACAAATATAATTTAGGGACTTAGAGCTGTGTTTGATGAAACCTATCCTGATCCTGTTCGAGTTGTTTCTGTTGGAGTCCCTGTAGTGGACCTAGAGAAAGATCCAAACAATCCAGCCGGTAAATAATTTACAAGACGACGCTAAGTCATAATGCAGGGCTTCATCTAGAAATTTTGTTGCGGGTGATCAGTGCCTGCAATTTAATTTTGTATGTTAAGGGACAATTTTTTTGGTATCTTTATCTTGTGGTTTCTTTTTTGGTAGAAAATCAGTTTTTGTGCATAGAAGTTGACATATTTAAATTATAGAAGGGTGAATAATACTTGAATTTAAGAGGAAAATAAATCATAGAAGTTGACGATTAATAGTGGAAGACATATTTAAATTACAGAATGGTGAATAATACTTGAATTTAAGAGGAAAATAAATTAGTTTTGGGAGAAACTTGGTTAAAAAGTGCATATTCTTTCCCATATTATAGTAGGAGGGGGATTTTTGATTCCCATAATCAAGAAATGATTATGCAAGCCTATCATATTTCTTTAAAACAGGAACACAGACTAGTGTGGAATTCTGTGGAGGAACCCATTTACGTCGTGCTGGTCACATTGAACACATGGTCATTGCCTCTGAGGAGGCAATTGCCAAGGGGATCCGGCGTATTGTTGCTTTGACTGGCCCAGAGGCAAAGAAGGCATTGGCCAAGGAGAAACTATTGCTAGGGGAACTTGAGAAGGTTAAGACTAAGGTGAGTCCATTAAATATATTGATAAATGAAAATAAAAGTCTGAAAAAATATGTGCTGGACTTTCGCTTGTTTCCACTCATTAATTTTTATCTTCAAATTTGGAAATATTTTACAAATTGTAAAAAAAAGGTTAGGGTCGAATGTTTAATTTGTATAGGTCGAAAGTAAGGATATGGGAATGAAAGAAAAGGTGCGTCTTATCACAGAACTCAATGATGATATATCAGCTGCTACCATCAGCTATCATAAGTAAGATTTTTTAAATTTTTCTTAAGGAAATTTCTAGTGGATTGTGCACTTTCATAATGTACTTGACTTAAAGTGTCATTCCAAATTTTACTATTTAAACTTTCAGGGTAGAGAATTTGTAAACAAGAAAATCATCTTTCCCCTAAAAATCTTTTTCTTAAGTTGTTGAATGTTGAATTAATTTGGAAGCTTTTATTACTGAATTTGAACTTTTGGAGAAGAATTTAATTTTTCTGAAAATGTTTTTAAAAATGTAAAAAAAGCTTGCCACTTTTTATTTTCATATCATTAACTTAAGTTTGCTACCTCATATATTTTCACGTTGTGTTTCCAACCCCAGTATGATTAAATAAAATAAAATAAAAGAATAAAAACCATGGTATTTCGAAAGAGTAGTCAACACTTTTATTTCATATTAAACTTAACAGAGTATAGACTCACGCCAAAGTAAACAGGAATATTTATACATTTCCAAATTAAACTTTAGTGAACTTATTTTTCTTTTTTACATTTACTCCACACTACATACTGAACTTAACTTAAAAACTTGCAGTGTTTTCTTCAATATTTTGTACACACTTAATTTCCATTGATTGAAAATAAAATGTGTGCTTTAACTTTTGAGACAAGTTTTGGTTAAAATTTCGCCAATTGTCCAGTTTTGTAAATCCGGATCGGGATTCAAATCACCTAATGATATAGCAAAACATTCACTCAATTGGATTACCATGTATCAGGAAGGATGAGATGCGAGGAGAGCTGAAGAATGTAAAGAAAAGGATTGATGATGAGGATAGGAATAGGAAAGCTGCTGTAATGGGAGATGTAGTAGAAGCTGCAAAGGAACATATTCTGTCAATAATTTTTTATCTATGTGTTTATCTTAATATTGGTTTGATTTTTTTCCCAACTTAGGCTCAATCAAAAAATAATACCCTGCATCTGTTCAGTTCCTCATTTTAAGAATTAATGCTTAAGAAAACAATAACTTAATATACCTAATTTAGTTAAAGACAACACTATCTAACCAAACCTGATATCAATATTAATACATTTTTTTCTTCAATTTCTAGGGTTTTCATTTTTCGGGATCAAAGGCCTTACAGAGCCTTCTTTAAGGACTTTAAGTGTTAAAGAATTTTAAACCATCAAACACTTTTGGAATTAATTGCGGAATCTTACTTAACCAAATTAAGAATAAATCTACTTCCCAGATGCTTAATAGACCTGTTGAAAGAAAGTTTATGGGAAAAATATTCCGGATCATTTCCATATGGAACAGTCGTTCATAATCTTTTATCAAAATGTCACCAAGCTCTGTATATTATCTAAAGAGTTAATTTATTTGAAAATCGATGAAGAAAGGTTCGGCTTTTAATTTCCAAAAAATTAGTAACCCTTTTAATTTTCTGTAAGTTGGTTTCCTTTTTTTAAAAGAATAATGGTTAAAGGCGATACTAACTGGTAATCCAGGCCTACCTTACTTGGTTTGTGAGCTACAGGCGTATGCCAATAATAAGGTAATTATAATTAAAATAGATAATTTTAAGAGCCTTTATAACTCTTTTGATTATTGATGAAATAACATTATTATACTAATTTTAATTTAATGTTTTAGTGTATTACACCTGTAAAAACTTTTCAAACTTTGAAAACATTGTTGAAAGAAGGTTACTGGTAGGAAATTATATTTAAAATATCAATGTTTACTTTTGTCACAACCAATTGGGTTTCCGCCCAACAACCATGTACATTGTGTACATACACCTTTTGAAACATTGGTTCAGTGTTGGTTGAACAGTGGGAGAAACTAGATATCTGAACCTACAGAAAGAGTTGTCAAGATGCACTCTAGTCAAATTTTACTCATCTTGATGAAAATTAAGTTTTTACCTGTTCGACAAAACAAGCTTGGCGACCTGAAGTTCTACCCTGGTTTTGGATTTATTATTTTTCACCTTCTCTTCAATATTTCTTTCGTTGTATGTGATTATAGTTGGGTGATGCAGGGTCCAATGACTACTATGCAAATTTTGTATATTGGAATGGAGTCAGTGTTTCTTGGGAGTTCTATCACTGTGTCTGTTGGAGTTGGATTATCTATGGTTAGATCAGGACCATCAATCCTTGATCTAAACTGTCCTGTCAGCAAAATGTTTATGGCTAAGCAGATCCTAGTTTTGCTGTCTTACTTTATAGGTTAGGCAATTTTCTTATGTTGAAAATTTGTTTCTGAAAAAGTTCATAAAAAAGCTTAATCTTCTCAAAAATACCAAAACCTTACCATTTTAAGATAAACAAGCCAGAGCTGAAAATGATGGATATCGAGATTAATGCTTAATCTACTCTTTTCTTAATCTCCTGATAAAATAATGCTCGTTCGCCTCTTATTCTTAATCTCCGATCAGGATTATGGATATTCCATTCTAAAGATTCCATCTCAGAACATTTTCAAGTTAACATTGACTTTTTTAATTTTAAAATTTCTAAGCTCCAATTTTTATTTGTTAATTTTAGGCGTTCTCTTCTCTAAGATGGAATGGTTTTTACAGCTTGACCCTGTTACTGACGCATATTTGTTGGTTTCAATTGTTTTCCTCATTTTATACAATAGCATCATGTTGTTTTGCATGTTTGCTTTTCTGCATGCCTGCACTGCTAATTTTCAAAGCAAATGCAGGGATGCTCTTGTTAAGGATCAACTAAACTCAGAAGATTTGATAAACTTGATCAAAGAATATAAACTGTTTAAGTCAGGACTGGAGTATATTTTGCTTTTAATATTTCCTCTTGGGCAGCTGGTTGTTATTTTTGCTGTGTATTATTTTATCATTTCAAGAATGTACTGGAGTCTCATCTTGGCAGCACTTGCAGTCTTTAGTATACAATATGGTATAGTGCATAATGTGGAAATCATATATCAGCAGATTGAGCAAATTGTATCTAAAGGAAACTCTGATGCATATCGGATGATGGATATGATTAAGATTCATAAGATGCAGAATCAAGTAGGGGAGCTTGAAAAGAGTGGTCCAGTAACTACTTTTGGATTCTTTACAGTGAACAGGGGGATATTTACTGCTATGGTTTCTACTACTATAACCTACATACTTATTCTCATACAGATGCTTTAAATGTTAATAAACTAATAGATTTTCTAGGCCCATTTTTATGTGTTATTTTTTCAATATATGTAAACAGATATTTGCCACTTTTAACAATTGTAGTTTATATTCTGTGTGTTGCATAATTTATTCGTCAAATATATTTGGAAGTTGAACTTAACTATTTTTGAGCATCAAAGATAAAGGGAAAAAGTTTTTTTTGGACTATTGTCGTGATCTATATTAATACAAAGAAGATGACTTTCGATTTCAAATTTGGATATCTAGCAAGCTTTCTAACAGCATGGATACAGATAAACATGAAAGCAAAGCGAAGCTGTCCATTAACAGTTTCTCTTTGTTTACTTGTATACTTGTAATTTGAATAGATCTTGTTAGAAATCAAAACCAAATTATCTTATTTGTTAAGATATTAACATTGAACACTGTAAATCAATCTGTTACTTTATATCTATTTCATTCAGTAGAATAAAAAATAATCTAACTGATTTTAGTTAATTGGCTAAAAAAGGTCATTTTATACAAAAGATGTTTATTAACCTCTGTAAAACCAACCAAAGGGATACAAAAAGTTGATTAACTATTTATAATGATTATATGTTGGCCTAGGGTGGTTGGATCATTGATGACGTTAAAATAGAAGTTTATTAACATGTCCACAGAGTTTAGTCAGTTTCCGTTAGTAAAGTTGCAATCAATTAAAGCCAAAATTGTAGTATTTCATGCTAATATTCAAAGCATTGATCTAAAGTTGTTTAAGAAATTACAATAGTTTCTCAAACTTGTACGCAATTATTAAGCTTTCACTTCATTAATTGATGGGAAACTAACTGAAATGGAACAATGGTGTGAAGTATTTTCAAGTGAAAATTTCCCAAGTGGCAACTTCCCAAATGTGCAATTTACCAAGCGGCAACTTCCCAAAGGTTAGGTTAGGACCTCTGAGGCACCACAGGCTGCAATGGGGGGCCAAGAGCTGCGGCTAAAATGGGCTATGGGACCGAGCGCTGCTTCTAGTACATACCTCTGAATTTGCCGTTGGGGAAATTGCACAGTTGGGAAAATACCCTTGGGAAGTTGCCATTGGGGAAAATCCTTCGGGAGAGTACCTGACAACATATAGAACTATAACTGTAGTGGCATATACAGTATATGCTATGACTTTGCCATTTGATTGAGCATATACATATTTAGCCCCTCTCCTATAATACAACCACGTTTTTCCTTTCTGTGCCACCAATAGAGTCCGGAAATACACCCTTTGCCAAATACTCCGTCTAGTTAGCATCTCAGGACACCCTGTCTAAAGAATCCCAGGACACCTAGTCTAAAGAATCTCAGGAAACTCTGTAATAGAGTCTATAAATACCCAACCAATAAATCTGCCATTTTTATTTTGTGCTATCAATGGAGGCCATTCTAATATAACAACCATTTTCCTTTCATATGTCAGGAATTGAGGCAGGAATTTCCTGTTGCAATAACTCATAGATGCGGTCATAAATGCCCAGTTCTATTACTAAACCATTTTCTATATCTAGGCTATAGATGGAGCATTAAAGCAGGTTAAACTGCTGTCTTCTGCAACTCCAACTATCTTCTTCTCTGGGGACGAAGATACGGGGAAGATACTCTGCATGGCTTACTCATCGAAGGAGGCAATAACGTAAGTTCTAAAGTGACTCTGTATGCTGCTTTACGTAAAATAATTGCTTCACACTTAGTTCGGAAGTGGCAATTTGAATGTCTTCAAATTACCAGCAATTTTTCAAGTAATCTTTTGTACAATGTTCTGCCTGCAGAGTTTTAACTGACAGTTTTTAAAGGACTCGACACGTAATTCTAAGGTACTCATCCAGTCCACATTAGTACCCTTCAAATCAACATCTATCCATTAACCACGGGCGAGAGGCTTTTGGACGTCATGTACACTTTACACTCGATTTTATTGCACTCAATTTTATGAAAGAAAAATAAGGACATATCGGTCACTGTTCAAAGGACATGCCACTCTAAAAATGGAGAGTCACTTAAAATTACGTTTAGATTTCAGTTGAGAAGCGCTTTTAAATAAATTAATTGAAAACCTAATTATGTTTCGGCACAAAAAAAGATTGTTAACTGACTAAGATGGTATGTCCCATACACTTATCTGCTGTAGTTCCGGACTGAAGGCTAATGAATGGTGTGGAAGTGTTCAAACCTTGATAAATGGAAAGGGTGGAGGAAGACCGGATAACGCACAGGTAACTTTTTAAAGGGATTGTTTACTTATTTTAACGTTATACTGAGTTAATAAAAATTAAAATATAAGTTTTTTGTATCCATTCAAACCTGAGAAATTTCTCTAAAATGTCCTAAGGGATATTTTTGCGTGTAAAATCCCTGTAACTTAGAAGTTTAGTCAAGTTTGTTTATAGTATACTATTTGTAACAATGAACATCAACAAATCGCAGAATGTTTTTATTTATTTTATATTTCACGAATATATTAATTTAAAAAAAAAATGTTCTTCCGCTTTTTAATCTGTATCTGTGTGTAAAGGCTAGTGGAACTAATGTTTCTGCTCTGAACGCCGCTATGGAAGCTGCACATTCCTTTGCTATGCTGAAGCTAGGAGTAGAGAGGGTCAACTTAGCAGCTGACGCAACAGGACCAGCAGGTCAGCTTAGAATAATCATTGGGGGAAAATAGAAGCAATTAACAAATCACCTAAAATTTTTCTCTTTTTGATTGACAAGATTTTATAAAAGGTGGCACACGATCATTATCTAAAATAATTTTGGTAATTACGTTCCACAACTATAAACTTGTATTTGAATATAAAACTTTAAATAGAATAATCACTTTTTTACGTATTAGGTCCGTTAACATTTAACTGCTATATCAATATTTTCTGTGCAGGAGAGAAGTCCATTTCCGCCTCTGTGTCCGCCCCAGCTGGTTCCGCCGTACTATTGGCTCCGCCAGGTTGCTGCGGTGGAGTTTTAGTTCAAGTGGCGAGTAAATATGCCGGTCAGACGATAGCTGTTCAGTCTGGACAAGCTTTCACCTTCAAGGAATTATATCAACATTTAAATTAAAGTTTTCTTTAACTATTTTCGTTTTTTTTCTTGTATTTTATTTTTTTTTCTTCAGAATTTTAGTTCTTTCTAGGATTTAAATTTATTTTTCAAAGATTTTAGTTTTTTTAGGATTACAGATCTTTCCCAGGATTTTAGTTTTTTTACTGGATTTTTTGCTACTAAGAATTTTTTTTGTTGGTTTATTACTTTGAGTTTAATATAATTTCTAAGAAGATTTTTAAAAGACAAAATGGATATACTTGAGTTATCTAACAAACACTTTTTATTTTGGAAGTTATATTTCTGGGCAGTTTTAACTCTGTTATATAAGTTTAAAAAAATGGTAATTTGACGACATCACAATTGACAGGGGCTACAGTAAAATTAAAACCGTGGTTCCCCAGAAGTGGGGGGGGGCGGGTGGAAATGTTAAGGCGCTGCCCCCCAATAGTGACCGAGTCCATTCCCTCTGAAAAGTTAAAGTCTGCATTACCTAGTTATACTTAAAATAATCTCTCATTAGTATTTAGTATATTCACTCCGGTTTTGGAGAGTGAAAGGAGGGCACCCTGAGATTCTGATTTGATTTGATTTGATTTTGATCCTCCTTTTTTAATGCTCCTAGAAAAAATCACCAAAACTGTTAGAAATAAGCGTTTCAATCTTTTAATTAATAAATGTTGATTTGATTTGATCAGAGTGGAGCTGGTAGTTTCACGTCTCCTGTCTCCACGGCTCTATATCTCTGCTCCAATAACAAAACTCTGATTGGAGCAGATCTTGCTCAACAGGTTGGATTATAACAGACAAATCTAAATATTTACTTTAAAATACAATATCTTGTTCCCTAACTTACAGCAGGCGGGTCAATGCTATAAAATTTAAGTAAATGACGGAATTTTGATTTGTAACAGTCGTCGTTGTATAATGTATATATCAATTCAATGCAGACGACTTTCTATTTTGATTTCTACCAAGTTAAACAACAGAAACACTTTAACCTTTCAACATAGAGAAGTTGTCAAGTAACAGCTTCTTTTTGTTTACTTGTAAACTTGTAATTTGAAAAATGCTTGTTAGGGATCAAATTATTATACATAAAAAGTCGTTTTCATTGTATTAATGCAATCGCCCACCACTGTAGTTAAATCTTCCCCGTCTAAGGTAGTTTGAAAATTCGACTAATTTTGCATTTTTATAACTTCAAAATTTTGGCAGAAATATTTGTTGTTTCTTAGAGAATATACTTCATCTTTACCCGGCAGCATGTTTAAAATTGTTATCATCTATCTATATAATAAAACTCTTAGAGAATATACTTCATCTTTACCCGGCAGCATGTTTAAAATTGTTATCATCTATCTATATAATAAAACTGTTCGCACATTCAAATATGTTAGCTATAGCTAACAATCCGGCTGAATTTTTTTAGGAAACCTAAAGGTACAACAATAATAATTTTTTAACGAAACCCAAATGTTGAAACTTGCTGTAAATGTATACTGTATTAGAGTATGGTTCTGCAGTACTGTTTGTACGCTGAGAATGATCTGAAGCATCATGTCTCTGGATGGGTCAATCCAACACAGGTATTAAACTGGGCCTTCAGACCTGCATTTTTAAAGGGACTGTAAGCGTAATTTCAAGTGATCAGATTCACAACGGTATCTTCGGAACCTTTATTTGATCACTAATGTGGAAGATATTGTTGTTTTTAGGTTTAAAGTGTTTAATTCTGATAATGATCCTTTTATGTTTTCCTGTAGTAGAAATGCGCAAGTCACTTTTGCAGAAAACCACAATTGTAAATAATGTGTTTTCAAAATGATAACATTGATATCTAATTCACACTTAATCAGACAAAGTTTGTAAGGGTATTGTTGTGAATCGAGCATTGCCATCTTAGCTTGTTAGGTCACTTGAAATTACAATTACAGCCCTTTAAAAGATAATTGTACAAAATTTAGTTAATCTTTTTGTTCGTGCATATACGTTTCCCTGCAGATGTGATGTACGCCTATTGCTTTCTTTATAAAGTTAAATATTTTATTTTGTTAAATAATTGCCAATTTATGCCCAATTGTTCTTGATCCTCCCCCCCCCGCCCCCATTTTGAAAATCTACTGTCTCCCTAGAAAGGGTGTAATTATTCTCGTTATATATTCTTGGATCTTCATTGTAATTATGGGTTGCTAAGCAACTCTCATCCTTTGCTGTTAACCTTGTATTAAATTCGAAACATTTCAAGTGTTGTCGTTCAGGGAGTAGTAGAGGGATGTAACCCTGGTACTGTTGCCAGAAGTAAAGAGGCAGTTCTTCATCATCTTCAGGTTTGTTAACTTCTCTACCTTTTTACTTGTACCAGCCAGTTTAGTGTAATCATACAGAATACCCATTTACTTGTACCAGCCAGTCTAGTGTAATCGTACAGAATACATATTTACTTGTACCAGCCAGTCTAGTGTAATCATACAGAATACCAGTTACTTGTACCAGCCAGTTCCGTGTGATCATACAGAATACCCATTTACTTGTACCAGCCAGTCTAGTGTAATCGTACAGAATACCCATTTACTTTTATCGACCAGTCTAGTGTGATCATTCAGAATACCCATTTATTCGTATAGACCGGTCTAGTCCGATCATATAGAATGCCCATTTACTAGTACTGGTCGGTCTTATGAACCCAGTTTGTAGTGGGCCCAGCATGTTTGATGCACAAAATATAGGCGAATTTGTGTGAAATATGAATCTGTCACAGTACCTGGTCAAGTTAACCATTATAAACGTTATATTTACGTTATAAACGTTGTTCTGCTAATGCCAATTACAAAACTCACTTAATCCCCGTACACTCATTTTCTGGGAATATTGGTTTGTTCATTTATATATTTAATGAAACATTTAGAAAATATTGTAGAATTGAGGATTTGGAGAAATGTCCTGACTACTCTAATAACATTGAGTTGAGCCACTACTAGTCATAAACGTCTCTAAAAAATACGTTTTTACTCATTGTTTGTATAATTCATTGTTCTTTTTCTAAAAAGGTTTCTTTATTTAACACTATCTTGTGAACCTAGCTTTCCCTGGAACTGTAATCTCTGAATAGGTTTTGGATAACATTCTAGACAAGATAGGTCCAAGCAACAAAATATTATCCATAAACCTATTCAGTAAATGGTAAGATTTGGAGTAGATAGTGTAACAGTGGGCGAGTTTTGTTGATCTTTTACGATCAGCAATTCAAGGATTTTTTGGATCGCTGAGATCATAGCTACCAAGGGGAATCATGCCCCTTGGATCCGAATGGCTCAGGTTTTACTTTTAATTATGATAAATATAATAATATTAAATATAATGANGGACCTATCTACTCCAAATATAATTATTTAATGAACAGGTCTTGGATAATATTCTTGTAGCATGGACCTATCTACTCCAAATATAATTATTTAATGAATAGGTCTTGGATAATATTCTTGTAGCATGGACCTATCTACTCCAAATATAATTATTTAATGAACAGGTCTTGGATAATATTCTTGTTGCTCGGACCTATCTTGTTGGTGAAAGGGTTAGTTTAGCAGATCTAGCAACCTGTACTACTCTTCTACCCGCCTTCAGACATGTTTTAGGTGATTCCTGTTATTTTTTAGGGGCCTGAAAACGTAATTTCCATTGAACAATGTCCTATTCACATTGGTACATTTAAAAGCTTTGAACACAAGAATGAACATTGAATAAGTTATCTGTTCTAAATTGTTAATTTCACACATGTTCGTTCTTGTTTATGACCGTGATTAAAAAACTTCTTAGCGGATTTTCTTAAAACATCAAGCGAAAATAAATAAAGAGTACAAATCGTAAGACCTCACTTCATTATTGATTTAGTATAGTCACTTTTGGTGTGTGGGTGTAGGACGTCCCTAAAAGCATGATTTTATTTGATCCGATCCATGTTTTTTTTTCTGCTGCAGAAACAATGCAAGAGAGTTTAACACTTTTGATCAATTCAATGTGAAAATGGTACTGTTGTGAATCGGGATTTTCTAACATTAATGGAATTCTGGAGAAGAAAGAATTGACAGCTGGTTTATTTTCAAGATGGCGGTGTGAGAAACAAACTGCGCCACGTGACTAGATGGTTTAACACAATCATTCATCAGGATAATTTTAAGCAGATTGCAGGTTGGACATTAAACAATCAGACATACAGGCATCAGAAAATTAGACATTAAACAATCAGACATACAGGCACCAGAAGATCAGACATTAGAAAATCAGACATACAGGCAACAGAAAATCAGACATTAGACAAACATGCATAAGACAATAGACATTGACAAAACAGAACTACTGAAAGTATAAAAATGATAAATATTGTGAGTTGTGACAGAGACAAAAAATAATGGAAATTCGTAGAACATAATAAATCACGAACGGGATCAAAAAAGTTTACAGTTAAGAAATCCTACATACATGTGAAATATTTATTGACAAAAGTTGGGGGACATTCTGAAAGCAAAAGCAGATCTTTGGAAACTAAATTTTAAAAAAATGTTTTCATACTTTTATTGTTAGGAGAAATCTCACTGTGCGCCCAGGAGGCTCAAATAGTTCAAGGAGCTGGAAAGAAGGAGAAAGAGGGAAAGAAGGAAAAGAAGGAAGCAAAGAAGGAAGTGGAAAAACCCAAACCTAAGAAGGAAGAAAAGGAAGAGGGGCCGGAAGGTGAGGAAGTCATCTTTATTACTAATCAAAACAAAAGTAGCATGCGATACATCAAACTTTAGGTAAATTGGGAAGAGAAAATCATTTCTGGTCAAAACAGAGATTGGGGCGTTCTGATCTGCGCGCTAGTAGCTAGATGTTACAGTATGGGTCATCTTGCCACAAACTTTACATGTCGTATGTCGATAATTAATAAGGCATGGGGGTTCTATTTCTTGGGTCAAACATGTAGTTTGAGTACTCTGATCGGCGCGCTAGTAGCCAGCTATTCCGTTTTGGTTCATCTACCAACCAACATATTTTTTAGTAGTATGTCAATTTACAGGTAATTGGGCACGAGAATTTTTTTTATGATGTCAAAATAAATATTTGAGCAGTCTGACCGGTGCACTTGAAGACAAGAGTTAGGTAATGGGTCATCTTACAGCAGATTTTACATATAGTATGTCAATTTAAAAGTAATTGGGCAAGATTGGTCTATTTTCTTTGTTAAATATGGAAAGCGCCCTCTGATAGGCGAACTAGCAGCCTGCAGCTACCTGTTTTACTTGTAGTATGTCTATTTGAGGTAACTAGACCCAAAGATTTGATTTTTTATGCTAAAAAATTATGTTTGATCATTTTTATCGGCGCGCTGCTGGCAAGAACGTAGTTATGGGGTCAACTTATCATACAGTGATAACAGAAAACTCTAGTATAGGAAGACGACTAATAGACTAAAGTTATGACTTTAAATAGTCCAATTAACATGCGACACCGCAATTGTTTAATGTAAACAGGCTCCATTAACTTGATAAGGGATTTACTAAGTCATTAATAACAATATTTGCTTTGTAATAACATTAAATAGACCAAATTATTGCTATAATGTCGTCTTCCTATTCTGCGGTTTTCTGGTTATAACTGTAGTTAATCATGTTGTATGCGATTTTATAGATGATTCGATCTGAGGAATTTATTCCAGTTCATAAAGCTAGTTTTGAATTTATATTAACTTTGCTGGTTAATTACCCCAAGACAGATTTCTCTAGTCTGAAACCTAACTACTGACATACTACATGAACAAACATTGTAAATAGTCCATTAATACTAATGTGGCCCCGAGCAAGGCCACCTGAGTGCTTTTAAACTAGTTTTGACAACAGAATTGGATCCCTTTGGTCGTCATGTCATACTATGTTAAGCTGACCTGATAACTACCGTCTTTTTAGCAGCGCGACGATCAGAGTTTTCAAGTGAAATTTATTCCCAAGAATTAAAATCCTTTGGTCCAGTTATCCAAGATCTACATACTGCATGTAAAAATACGGTAGGATGATCCCCACTGGTAACTACTGGCTGCTAGTGCGCCAATTTAGAGTGCTCCAATATTTATTTATACATCAGAAATGACTTCATCGTATCCAGTTGCCTGTGGAATGACATCCAACATGTAAAATATGTGGAAAGATGACCTCACAACGTAACAGCTGGCTCTGCCAGAATGTCCCAATATTCATATTGACCTTATCAATGAAGTCCTGGTGCCTATTTACCTGTAAATTAGCATACAACATGCAAATCTGTGCTAAGTTGACCCATCAGGTAACAGATAGCTACTAGGCGCCGGTCAGAATGCTCCAATATTTAATTTGACATCGGAAATTAATTTCTCGTGCCCAATTATCTGTAAATTGACATACAACTCGAAAAATAAGTGGATAGATGACAAAAAACGTAAAAGCTGGCTACTAGCGCGCCGATCAGAGTGCTCAAACTATATTTTTGACCCAAGAAATAGAACCCCCATGCCTAATTTCTAATTATCAACATATGCCATGTAAAATTTGTGGCAAGATGACACCAACAATGTAACATCTGGCTACGAGCGCGCCGATCAAAACGCTACAATGTTTGTTTTGACCACAGAAATGAATTCCTCGTCACAAATTACTTGTATTTTCATGTGTCGCGTGCTACTGTTGTTTTGAATAATGCCAAAATTGAAAAAGTTTAGAATCTCAAATATTTTCTAAATTGCGAGAGAGCAGGGTTTGAGGCTTTTTTGCGCAAAACTGTTAAGAGATTACCTTTTTGAAAGCATCTTAAGGTAAATTCAAGTTTATTATATGGTCTTAAGATTGCAAAACTGTGAAAAAGTAATATTTTCCATCAAAAAGCGCGCGCACGCGCGTATATATGCTCGGATTTTTAAACAACTGAATTTTGCAGTTACAATACATCATTTTGAGGTTCACACATGCAAAAAATCAGCATTCTACTGCAATTCTAAGTTAGATATAAACACTGTTTAAATTTTCCGAAAGTAATACGTTTTGTGCCACCCCCCCCCCCCTTTTTGGTGGGACC